TATTTTAGTAGTAGATCTGGTCGGAAAAGGCTAGATCGGTATACAACCGGTTGAATCTTGTTAATCATGTGCCATTCAAGCGACCGTTGGTCGTAATCCGACGGTGGTGGCTGGTAATCGGTTGGATGGGTGAAGTTGTTTTTGTTAATTTATAATTTTTTATTTTGTGTTTGGTGGCAGGGTTTAGTTACAAATGTAAGGAGTTAAAAAATAATTTAAATGTTTTCCAAAAATGTATCAAACTTATTCTCAGAATCCTATCTTATTTGTATAATCTAATCCTATCTTATTTGTATAATCTTATCCTATTTTTCATAATTTTTCATAATATCATATTTCAAATAATGTACCAAACGAGTCATTATTTTGTATCGGTATTTTTGGTGCATGATTGAAGTCATTATATTATCCACTATTTTATCGTTGGGGCTAGTAACTAGCCTCAAAAAATTTCATCGTTCTTTCAGTCATTCTGCCACCTTGCGATTTGCCAAGAAGCACCATTCTACGAAGGTAGCATAGGCAATCCACTTAATAGTTGAAAATGAATATTCGCCTAACCCCCCAGGAGTTGGGTGTGTGTAAATCGGCTACCATAATTTCCACGAGCATAATCTCATACCTTATGGCACTGTCGACGGAATCGTAGTCTTTCATGTGAACCATTAGAGAAGTTAATATGCTATATTATTTGCTTTAAAATATTTTTTAATCTTACATCTTAGTTTAGAAGAAAAGGGACATACCATGCGTCTTCACAAATAAAATTCTGGTCAAATAGTGTTGGCAGAGTCTCAAATTTATATGGCTTAACTTAAAGAGTAATACTAGCGTCACTGAAAGTAGTGTTCCGAATGACGTGGCATAATCTTGATCGTTGATTAACATTAAATTATAATTAATCAATGATTAGGATTATGTTACGTCATTCGGTGTACAAATTCGATGCATTAGTTTCGATGCACAAATTCAGTACATTACTTTCGATGACTATGAGTGCGTTTGATTTATTATTTTAGATAGGATTTTGGGAAAAGTATTGGATAATTAGATATGAGAGTATTACGAGGTAAAATTTAAAAATGTATAATCCCCTAAGTTTGCTAATTTAATAAATACCCCAATATATAAAAATATGTAAAGTGACAAAAAGACCCCCACCACCTGCAGTGCTAGATTCCGGCCACCACCGTTGGAATCTGGCAGAAAAATTGCATAACCACACATACCGACTAGATTTGGCCGGTATGGCGTCGCTATGGTCTTTTTCGGCCAGATCTACGGCCATATGTGGCCGTCGACGGTCGAAAAAGGCCAAAGAAGACCATCTTTGGCCGTCATTGTCGGTCAACAATGACAAAGATTTGGCCGTCGTTGACATTTCTTTGGCTGTCACTAACGGCTAGATCTGGCCTTTTCCAGCCAGATCCACTGTGGATTTGGCTAGAAAAGGCCAGATCGATGAATTACCAATCAGTTCTGGTCGATAATTCACCGTTGTGGCATATTCTGATTACCACTGACTGTTGTTACCGGAATCTGGTAAGTATGGGTCATAGGGGTGTTTTTATTCATTTTTAAACTTTTTTTTTTAGGGGGTATTTAATGAAATTAATAACTTTATGGGATCTAAAAATAATTAAAAAATAGGATAATATTTCTAGAATAATGTATCAAACATTATTTGAAGAATAGGATTAGAAATATAGGCAGAAATAATAAGCCAAACGCACTCTATTATTTTCCTAACTTAAAACTCCGTCATATCAACCTTGTTTTGTCTAGCTATTTGACGGACTCCATGATATTTGAGGTTTGCATAGATCGAAGCCCAATGGTTCAAAGTCCACATGCTTCCTTCATTGGGCCAAATCCATTTCATTATTAAAAAATAAAAATAAAAATAAAAAACGCGGTTTATAGACTATAGTTATAACATTAGATCTACCCGGCAAGATGATGCCACGTTGCCATCTAGTATGGTTAAAGAATGACATGTCAACTTCTAATTGGTCAGACTACAAATGTTGCTAGGAAATTTCTCTCTTCAGTCTTCACCCTTCATTGCGTCTGTCGGTGACGCGTGCGTAACCACGAAGCGAAACAATAAAGAAAAGAAAATGAAATTACCGTGAAACGTACTTCTCTTAATAGTCTCTTTTGCTTCTCCCGTCAATTTCTCTTGTTCTTCCCCCTTTCTTCTCTCCACGCTATATTCCCTCCTCCAAATCCCAAATCTCTGTATTCTTAACCAACCCTAATTCTAACAAATCCCTCAAAATCTTTCATTTCATTACATTTCAATTCAGTTCTCCTCATCCTCCCAATATGGCTTCTGCAGCAGCCCCTATTCTACCCGTCTCCACCGCCCAATCCGCCTCCGCCACCTCCGCCCAGTCCCAACCCCCGATCGCCACCCCCGCTTTCCGCGCCCTAATCACCCACCTCTCCGAGTCCCTACGCAATGGCTTCTCCCAGCGCCGCCCTTGGGGCGAACTCGTTGATCGCTCTGCCTTCTCCAAACCCGAGTCCTTATCCGATGCCACCGTCCGTATCCGCAAAAACTACTCCTACTTTCGAGTGAATTACCTTTCCGTCCTCGCCATTGTTTTGGCCTTCTCTCTTGTAACCAATCCTTTCTCTCTGTTCATGCTCCTTGGTCTTCTCGCTTCGTGGCTTTTCCTCTATCTGTTTCGTCCGTCCGATCAGCCGCTTGTCATCTTTGGCCGTACTTTTAGCGACCGTGAGACTCTTGGGATCTTGGTTGTGCTGAGCGTGTTCGTGATCTTCCTTACCAGCGTTGGATCTGTTTTGATCTCGGCTTTAATGGTTGGAGCGGCTTTGATCTGTGCTCATGGTGCGTTTAGGGTTCCTGAAGATCTATTCTTGGACGAACAAGAGCCTGCAGCGACTGGATTCTTATCCTTCCTTGGTGGAGCTGCCTCCAACGCCGCCGCTGCTGCCGCCCCTACCGTTGCCGCACGCGTTTAAGTGGATGGTTGGGATTGATTCAATTGAAACTTAGGATTTTGGTAGTGGAATAAATGTCAATTTGGTAATTTTTGATTTTTTTATTTTAACTATTGTCGTGAATAGAATATGGATCTTATATTTTTTTTCTTTTTGCTCAGTGCATATTTTACATGATACAATTTGTACTTTCAAGTTTCATCTTTTTAATACAGATCATGGAATGGATATTCGAGTTTTCTATTTGTTAAATCTGTTTGATTTGTTCAAGTAGGTAGAAATTTTATTGTTCCGTCAGAAATTGAAACAAATAATGGATGCAAAAGGTTGAAAATTTTGGTTGATAATATTTGATTCTGAATGAGTTAATCTCTGCTAGTTTAAGTTTTGTGGGTTTTTGGGAAATTTAGTTAGCATCTTGATTGATATTTTATCTAACGTATTAGTCTGACCCTCTCAATAAAAGTACAGAATCGGTACGTCTGAGTCAACAGTCACAACCTTTTCTCCGACCCCCGTTCATCAGATTGTGGGAGAGGTCCCTCTTTTTATCAGTGAGTTTTGAGTTAAACTGGGAAGACTCAGTTTGAGAAACAGTATTTGTGTTAGGGTTTTTGTTAAGCCCCTCATTCATATCGTTAACCAGATCTTCGTGGCTCAAGTTTTTATGATTTCTGAAAAGCTCAATCTGTATGCAGCATTGAAAGGCAGAAGGGCAGCAGCCTAGTAAGGTCGACACTACATGTGACTTTTCTTATGATTTGTTTCACAGAATTTGTCAAAAAGTTTTTATAGGCTTGACCTGTAAAATTTTTACTGACATTGCCTCAATTTTTTTTTTTTTTTTTTAATTATTTTTTTTTATTTTTTTTTTTCTTATATTTTTTTTTTTTTTTTTATTTTTTTTTTTTTTTTCTTTTTTTTCTTTTTTTTTTTTTTTTAATTATTTATTTTTTTGTTTTTTATTTTTTTAGAACATCCTGAGGTTCAGTATGCTTCAATAAATTATTTTCTTCATCTTTGTGACTCCTTGGTGCACAGAAAGCCACTCTCCCTCCAGGTTGCAATAAGCAGAAACCACCTTAAGGGCCAGTTTGGGATTCTTGATTTTCTCCTGGATATACTTTAGATTTTCTTGCATAGTTTAACACATGCATGTGTGTCTTTTTTTTTTTTTTTTTTTTTTTTTTTGGATATCTGGGTCAGTTTATGCGTATTTTATATATCTTTCAGGATCCTAAAATTATCGGTCGGATAATAACTCTAATGGCTACCTCTAGTAGTATTTTAAGAGTGACTCAAACTCAGAACCTATTGAGTAATACATCTAACAGTCTTAACATATGCATAATAGGTAGAAAAAAAATATTTCAACCATATATATAATTTTTTTTTTTTGTGATAATTTGAAGTTAAAATATGATAAACATATAAAAAGGTTATTAAACAATGAGAAAGGGCTTTGTGCATGTAAAAGATCCTTCTGGTCTTGTTCGTCCACAGATTTATCAGTTTAAGAATAACTCTATTATGGTGCCTTTTTTTTTTTTTTTCTTTTTTTACTAGAATATAATTTATGGGCTCGGAATATGTTAAAAATTAAATTATGATAATCCACGTGGCAAATGGGAGATTCCACGTGATTCCCACGTGGTGCATACAATATAGCCGTTGGAGAATAACAACGCCTTGCTGCGACCATGACCCAGTTTGTTCATAACTAACCGTTCTAAGAAGGAGCATGGAAGTAAAAACTAGCCGTTACAAAGTAAGTAAAGTATGAAAAATCTGATACTCACTACCTATCTCTCTACTGACTTTGTCTTCCGGGCAAAAACAAGATCCCACTGCTACATACATATGCTTCTTCACCCGTCCTCTCTTTTATCATTTATTTTCTTCATTCTTATTACTTCACTACGTAAAGCAAAACCAAGAAACAAGAAGATATAAGATATATCAAACCTTACATCTTCTTCTTCTTCATTCTTAATTTCTTTCAGCAATTTTGCTGCTTCTCTTTCATGTTCATGGAAAATACCTGTTGCTTCCTGAACCGATTCCACAGCAACAAGTATTTTTCGGCTTCTATAGTTTCAAACAAGTTCTTTATCTATGCCCATTTGTTATTGTTTCTACTTGCTTTTACTTCTAATTCTGTTTCAGGCCGTTCATGGGATGGGGTGATTGTTACTCAAGCAGATTTTCAATCTCTTCAAGCCATCAAACATGAGCTCATCGACTTCACAGGAGTTCTCCGGAGCTGGAATGGTAGTGGTTCAGGAGCTTGTTCTGGTGGGTGGACAGGAATCAAGTGTGTTAAGGGACAGGTTATTGCTATTCAGCTTCCTTTTAAGGGTCTCGGTGGCAGAATCTCAGAGAAGATTGGTCAGCTTCAATATTTAAGAAAACTTAGTCTTCATGATAATGTTATTGCTGGATCAGTCCCCTGGTCTCTTGGGTTCCTTCCACATCTCAGAGGGGTTTATCTCTTCAATAACCGGCTTTCGGGTTCTATCCCTCCTTCAATTGGTAACTGTCATAATCTTCAGACTCTTGATTTAAGTAATAATGCACTTACTGGGACAATTCCTCCTAGTCTTGCAAATTCCACCAGGTTGTTTAGACTTATTTTGAGCTATAATTCCCTTATGGGTTCTATCCCAGTACGTCTCACCAGGCTACCTTCTCTTACTATTCTTGCTCTTCAACACAACAATATATCTGGTTCTATTCCAGATACTTGGGGTGTTTTAGCAGGAAACAGCTCTTACCAACTTCAGTTCTTGAACCTTGATGATAATCTTATCTCTGGAACAATCCCAGTTTCTTTGGGGAAGTTGGGATTGCTTCAGGAGATTTCTCTGAGTCATAACAAGATTGTTGGCCCTATACCTGATGAACTAGGGAAGATCTCTAGGCTACAAAAAATAGATTTATCATACAATGCTATAAATGGCAGCTTTCCTGATACCTTTACCAATCTAACCTCTCTTGTGTCTCTAAATCTNAAAAAAAAAAAAAAAGACTTTTGATTTAAGATTAAAAGGTAGAATATTATGAATGGTTTCTTGGTTGAATTTTTTTTTTTTTTTTTTTTTATAAAGATATTAGTGCTAAAATGCATTTGAAATGTTGAAAATATGTTTGGTGAAAAAAATAAAAAATAAAAAAAAAGAATTACATTAATTCAAATTGGGTTAAAAATTCATTTTTCTAGAAAAATAACGAACACCCAAGCAAATTTGAATAAACTCTAGTCTCTTGAGTCTAGTAACTCGAATCCAGTTGCTTGAGTCCAATCACTCGAATTCAGTTGCTCAAGTCTACTGGCTAGAGTGCATTATAATGATATTAACCTCAATTGAGCAGACCTTTTTGATAGTTTGACAAGAGTCATAAAATTTGCATATAATCTATTATGCCAAATATCAATATCACCCATATAAAATATCCAAAAGTACACTTGAGTGAGGTTAATATCATTATACCCCACTCGAGTGACTGGACTCGTTGACTCGAATTTCCGCAATTTTTTTGGAAATCAGATTTTTCGATTCAAGTATTAGAATGTGGGTTTTTTTTTTCTCCCTAAATATGCAATATTTCACTTATATTAAATATATATGAACATAATATCACCTTTTTTTTAATTATTTTAAAATTTTTATGTTTATTAATTATTTTAAATTATTAAATTTGTTTAATTAATTATTTTTGTTTATTTTATGTTTATGTTTAAATCTTTCTAAATTTTTTTTTAATGTTTTTTTTTTTAATATATTTTTATACTTGTTTTTTTTTTATTTTTTTCTTTTAATATAGTCATATAAGTAATTAGTTCTTGAGATATGAGCCTTTACATGGGCAAAATTATATCAATAATACTACTCTTACAATAGCTTCTTACAATCTTCTCTCATGATTTAATGTGACAGTGAACGTGGTTGCTGCCAGCTCAACTGTCATGTTAGCCAAATGACGTCAGATTCCCTCCAAAATAAAAAAATGAAATTTTTGAAACCTTGAAATCTGAATTTTGATTGCTCCCTTATATTCATTTTGAGGGCGTTTGGTTGGGGGTTATATGAGATTATTGGGGTAATGTCATCTTATATTACTTGATTATCATGTTTGGTTGTTAAGTAATATAAGATACCGGTAATCTTCAAATACCAATAGTAACCAGCCACCACCACCACCACCACCACTGCCACCCAGCCACCACTGCTGACAGCGGGCCAATCACCATGGGTCGTCGCCGGAAAATCACCAGAGTCCCTAAAAAAGAACGAGACTCGGTGGGAGACTTCGGGAGGCTTCGATATGGCCGTTTCTGACCATATTGATGGCCAAAAACGGCCATATCAGGCCAGATCTGGTCAGAAATGGCCAGATCTATTCCGGCCATTTCCGGCCAGATCTGGACGAGATCTGGCCGTTAATGGCCATGGACCTGGCCGGAATAGATCTGACCGCTAACGACCAGGTCCATGGCTGTTAATGGCCAGATCTCGTCCAGATCTAGCCTGATATGGCCGAAAACGGCCATATCGAAGCCTCTTGGTCACGGTCAGCTGCTGATGGGGACTTTCGGAGACTTCCGGAGGTGGTCTGCGGTGGCGGCAGGCGGCAGCAGGTGGGGGGTGATTTCGTAATAAATTAAAGTTTTATATAAGCGGGGGTGTTTTAACTAAATCTGAAATATTGAGGGTTAAATGAAATTATTCAAAAATTAATAATAAAAATAATATTATATTAATATTTGAAAAGGGGACAATTTGGTAATTTAAATAACATATCCACCAATTTATTCTCCATAACCAAACATATTAATATAACATACCCACCAACTAACCAAACACATTTTTCTAAAGATTCTCAGTAATCTTCCAAGGTAATCTATCTTTCCAGTAATTCAACATTTCCAATAATCTAATATTCCTAAACCAAACGCCCCCTTTGGGATTTTCCCTAATTCATTTGAACCCTAAAAATTTAAATCTGTCAATTTCAATTTGTGAAAACCGTAGAAACCACCAACCTGAATTATTAACCACGACAACGGAGGCAGAGGGCTTCGCCGGTGGCCACCACTCACAAAGTCAACCACCAATTTTCCGGCCACCTTCCAACCACCAACACATGCTTTGATTACCACTACTTTTTTACACTATATCCTATCTTATTACCAACTTGACAGGGCCTTCATAAAATTTGCCAGAGTTTCCTTTGTTTGCTTGCTTGTAAGGCTTACTGTGTAGGAGTAGGCACCCTAAAGCCAATCATATTGTTGTATATTGGCTCTATGGATCATGTTATTCTATTAAGGCATTGTTTATATTATGTAAATCATATTCTATATGTATATATGTTAATATATGCCCTTAGACTGGTTGAATTGTGATGAGGGAATCAAGCAGTGATAAATCTTGCTTGTATTATCCCTATGATCACTTATGATGACCATTCTAGAAACTTCCATAGCCCTAGTATTATCCTGACTTATGACATAGATAATATGGTAAGACTAACATAACGTTGAACGACCTTATCGGAAGGTAGTGATAGATCTCGCATGTCAATGTTGTTTGGTTACAACTTAGTGCGACGCATGGGTGTTTGTTATTCACAAGTTCACCAAACTGGCCTATATAGAGGATTCCATATAGATGGTAACTCCAATGTCTATGGAATATATCCTCTAACAGGTGGTGGTGCATGTGGTCTTTAGACTTAAGATCACTAGGTGTCGTGTGTAAATATTGGTATAGTTTGCGACTAGCCTAATGTAATCCTATTCAGGGTTATCAGTATGGTTGTGATTGGCTGCATTGAGAAGTACACTATGGCAATTATGGATCGAAAAAGGATTCATCACTCCTGGATATAGGAGAAATTACCTCGATAAGATATTCGGTAAGAGACAACAACCTTAAATCTGTGGCCATAGCGGAATCGAGTTGTTGCTTGGTTGTTCGATTGGTCTGATAACCGAATCTGAATATGTCAAGGTGGTTTATACTTGAAGCTGACATTATTTCTATGCTTTAAACCTTGATGAGATAATAGATGACAAATGATTTGATTGCACGGTAACCATACTGTTGCTAGGTAGTGAATACGTTGAATCCGAATTTGTTGGGTGGCCATGATGCCTTGCTAGAGGTCAATATTGGTTTGTTGTAATGAGACGATTAATAGGGTGTTGATCGTGATATTACTCACTGCCAATATGATAAGGAGCTTACGAGTCACACACTTAAAAGGCAAGTTAAAGAAGATAAAAAGTGAGGGGCATTTTCGTCATTTATAGAGGAAGGGGTATTTTGGTAAATCTTACAGAGCAATTAAATTTGCTGGAAAGGGGAAAGGTTTTTGTTTGCATCCAATCCCATATTGGATTTAATTTGTAAGACTGGATATTTATTTAAATATATAAATTGTCGTATGTATATTCTAAATAAATAAAATGTCATTATTTGAATATATATTGTGGTGTACATATGTTTTAAGTATTGAAAAATTATTATTGGATGAATAAAATAATAATGGCTCAATACTTGGTTAATTACTTTCTTTGGAAATCAATGTATCTAATTATTTAATTAGATGGGGGTATATTAGTAATATATCCTAATCAGGGGAGATTAGGGTTGGCCTATAAAAAGGCACTTTTCCCTAAATCTCCCATAACCATTCCCATTGCTGCCCAAGCTAAAGATTGAGAGAAAATTTCTCTTGAATTTTTCTTAATTCTTTTATTCTTTAAACTACACAAATCACTCTAGCAAATTGATTATGTGTGGAGTTCTGCCTTTGTGTGGATTTCCGTTAATTCACTTCTATCCTTGAAGTGGGAACGTTTTCAACGGTCAATCGGAGTAGCCATCAACGAGGGTGAGAAATCGAAACCTTACTGGATTTTATTGTTCTTAAGCATGTAAACAACGTTGTGTCTCCTATAAGGATTTTGGACTTTAGGTTTAAAAGGTAAATTTTTGTTTTCTGCTGTGTATTTGTTTGATTAATTCCTAACATACTGGTAGAGGTAGGTTTACATCTTGCAAAATATTGGCAACATTATTAGTTCTTGATTGTGCATTCCTGAACTGAAAGCTGGTTTTCTTGGTAGGAAGAATTTACCTTGGCATGCACAACTTGATTGATATCATAGGAGGACTTGCAATTGGATTGTTGATTCTTTCATTTTGGCTTAAAGTTCATGAATACATTGTCAATTTTGTATTCTATGGACAGAATGGTATATTATATTCTTGATATTACATTATCCCTATGAAATTTTGTAATGATTATTAGCTTCTGATTTTCCTACTCTTGGAATGTCATGAAAGTCATTACTTTGATTGAGAAAGTTGTGGGGCATTCTTTCATTTGTGAAAGCTGATTCTGTTAGGATAGGTGCACTAAAGCCAATACTATTAGACTCTTGTAATATTATATTGAATATTAATAAAGGCATAGATTTCTATATTATGTTATTTATTTATGTAATGATATATGTTTTTAGAATGGTTGACACCTAGACAAGGAAATCAAGTGTTTCAAATCTTGATTGTGAGGATCCTATGATCACATATGGTGGCCATTCTAGAAATATCCGTAGCCTTAGTATTAATTTGACCATGGACACAGATAATACGATAAGACTATCATAGCGTTGAATGACCCTACCGAAAGGTAGTGGTAGTTCTCACATGTTAAGGTTGTTTGGTGACAACTTGGTGCAACACATGGGTGCTTGTTATTTACAAGTTCACTAGATTGACCCACCAAAAGATTCTATAAAGATGGTAACCCTAGTATCTATGGAATATATCCTCTAACGGATGGTGGTGCATGTGATCTTTAGACATGAGATCACTAGAGTGTCGTGGGTAAATATTGGTGTAATTTGACGCTAGCCTAACACAATCCTATTTAGGGTTATCAGTATAGTAGTGGTTGGTTGCATTGAGAAGTACACTAGGGCTATGGTGGATTGATAAGGGATTCATCGCTCTTGGGTATAGGA